CGTTATTTAGCGGTACGAAAACCACTGCGTTATGAAACGGTACAAACTAAAACTCGGTAAGTTTATAATGTATAATTTCTATATAGATTTATTTGCACTAATTTAGTATTTATTTCTCTGTGTTTTAATAGCTGTCAATGTTGGATGGCATTTACTTGGATCTCGGCAGCATTATTATGCTGCCCTCCGATTTTGGGTTATACTAAGCCCATAGAAAATAATGTCACTCATATATGTATGCTGGATTGGGGTTCTATGGCTGCGTACAGTACTACATTAGCAATTTTAGTTTTAGGTCCTAGCGTTATATCGATAGTACATAATTATTCTTATATTTTCTTTATGATGCGAAGATTGAAATCGGGCGAACCTATACACGATAAAGAATATGCAACTGCATTAGCTGAAAATTTAGCGAATCCTAGTCATATGATGTCATTCGCATTAGTGTTTGCATTCTGGATGTCATGGTTACCTTGGATCTGTTTGCGTTTATACGAACATATAATAGGTGAAGTTATCCAAAGTACTCTCATTAATTTTGGTGTCGTCTGGATTGGTGTCTTAAATTCATTTTGGAAAATTATAATTATGACGAGTATGTCACCACAATTTCGTATTGCACTCAGAGTATTTTGTTTAACCATTTGTTGTAAGACTAAGGGCCGTTTGCAAGCAGAACTAATCGGGTTGGACCCAGATGACTAGAGTCGTTAGATTTTCGTACAAATTGGTCACTTCAAAATTGTTTGTTATTTGTTAATTTTAATTTTAACGAATCACAAAAAAATCGTTTTTCATTTTTGTTTTTAATTATAACCTTTCCTTGTCTTGATTGTATCAAAATTTAGTAGATATTACATAAAATTGGTTGTAAATGCTATGAATGCAAAAAAAAAAATTATGTAAAAAATCTGTTTGTCGTTTGAAAATGTGTAAAATTTTATGTGTTGCATATTTTACAGATGTTTTCTAAAAAAAAAGTAAACAGTCTTGAGAACGATGATGATAAAATTATGAAGAGTAAAAACAATTTTTTTAAGCGTAAACAATTTTGAAAATTTCCAAAGACAAAAATGTCCAAAGATTTTTATTATGAGCTTATATTTGGGGAAAATAACATTAGTTTAGTTAAATGTATAAAATTGTTAAATAATTTTATTTTATAAAGCCTAGTACAAAATTTAGAGACTTTGGACGATAGAAACTAAAGTTCCTTTAAGTTTGTTTATTGGTTTTAAAAAATTATAAAAATATATATAAGAGCTTCTTTAAAGAAACAAAAACCCTATCATTTAAAAAAACGAACTAATATTTCTATTCTATTCTATACACCCACAAATAAAATTGTAGGCTGACAAACTATTCCCGAAAAAAATTATCACAAGATCCTATTACAAGCCTCCCTTATTGATAGAAAACAACTTTAGTTAAACTAAGATAGAATTCAAACATTAATGAATTTTTTATTTAAAATTATATCATTTTATTACAATCTCAATTTTTTTATCACCGTTCTACATTAAAAATATTTTTCAGAACTTATACTCGTTGTATCACATTTCCAAAAAGAAAACCCTAACAGGTTAAGTACTTTAAATATGGCTAGAGAGAAATCCAATTCGCTTAGATCAGTAAAATGTATTCGGTTAATATTTTTGCCAAATAATCCTTTAACTCTCTGCTAAAATATACAGTATTTTTGAAAATCCTTAACCCCCCCTTGGTATCTGTCGATAGGCGATATATTAATTAGGTCCTGAATAGTCGTACAATAGAATTTGATTCCAATTTCACAAATGCATTTTATATTTAAAAATAGTTAAAATCCATAATTTTAGATTAATTATTCTTTACAAAAAGAGATAAATTAATATATACTAAGTTTATTGTAAGTAAGAGAACATCTATAAAAGTACATAAACTCTTTAATAGATATTCCATAGAATCTGAAAAAATAACAATAGCTTTTTACTGGAACATTTTAGTTTCTATTGTACTAGGTTTTCTGACACTATTTTCTTTTAATATTTAAGTTGCTTATTAAACTTTAAAAATAAATTAACTAACACAAAAGAGATGTTAATTCGAAAGTATACTAAATTAGGAAACAATATGCAAATTGTTCATGAGCCTCTCCAAATTACACAAATTTCCATTAAAACAATTAAAATAGATCACCGACTATGTGGGAATTCTAATTTTATATAACAATAATTCCTAAAGAATACGGATAGCCGCAAATAATGTATAAACACATATATTTAGTTTATCTCTATTTATATTATTTAATTTTTTGAATTTTTATAATTTAAATAACATTTATATATAATTCAAGTAATTACCTAATTTCAAATTTTCTTTATATAGTTCTATATAATCCGGGGGAAAATGTGATTAGAACTAACTGAACCCATATAGATTAGCTGGTTCGATTGTGCCCTCTACCAAGAAACTGGGTTAATTTAATTTGATACCCTATTTTGACAACTTATGAAAAATGAATGTATCATCCTAAATATATACTAATTATATACTAAATATATTCTAATTAATTTAATAATGTACATCTGATTTAACAAACTCAATCCTACAAAATTTTGTTTTGTAATTTCTCTAATTTCGGATAAAAACAAACAACTGCAGACACTAACCTACCTTGTGAAAATGTAGCTAGAGACATTAGAAATCTAATATTGCTTTATAGCCTTAAAGCTATAAACAAGATGTAGGTAAACAAAACTTTCTTTTAGAAGGGTTCAAATAGAAATTAAAAGACAACAAAAGTGTTTTTTATTTGTCCTAACGATATTTCAAGTTTACATGTAAGCCCGATTTTAAAGTCGTAACTTAGATCTCACAACTGACCTTAGTATGAAATAATTTAACAAATCATGATTTGAGTGATTATTAAGGTTTAAGTTACGATTGCGAAACCGGCACTAAAAGATTTATATTCAATGTAATTTCCTCAAAATTTTTTTAACATACTTTTCTTTTACGAGAAATATTATCTATAAAAATAAAAAAGACAAATTAACCTAATTGTCTCCAAATTATATACCTTCTCAAACAATATTGTCTAAATTTAACAAGTCCATATATTTACTTGGTCAGTCTGCTTAGGCGGGTTGTCTGCTTCTTTTAACTTCTTTGATAAACTATTGGAGAGTAATTTATTTTATTAAGTGATTGTTCCAATTGTTCAATAAAGTAAGTTTCTTAAATAAGTCGATTAATTCTCCAAAAAAAATAAAAACGACAATAAGTACAGCAAAAATAATTATATTCTAGTTCTGGCACTTATAGATCATTAGAAACTATATTTGGTCTAATAAACTAAAAAGTTATTTCTAAAGACCTTTGAAAATTAAATTCATTATATATAAACATCTTTGTCGTTGTAATTGATTACTCCTTAATAATACAAAAGCAAGAAAGCTCTCAAGAAATTAGTTTCTTCGTCATATTATAATATATAATATATACACATATGTGAAGACGTACATATACACATATGTAATGTATGAATCAATCTTCATTAAATATATTATTCATACGTAAGTTAGTTCGTGAACAATCCTAGTATCAGTAAATGTGCTCCTAAGTGGTACTAAAAGTGATACAGACCCGAAATCAGAAATTTAATTCAAAGGGATCTCACAGATTAAAAATCTTTCTAAGCAATGTTCTAGACTTTTTCAAAAAAACAGTGACTTTAACCGGATCAACGGCAACATCATATCGAATAGGAATTATAGTATGAACATTCAGTCTATCAGGGACATTTATTTTTCAAAAACAAAAAATTATCTATCAATGTTAGTTGTTGCGATTGATGGAATAACCAAACTGTTAACGAAATACTACATTTCCAGAAAATAATATCCAATAGTGTATTTTAACAATTTTGAAAAATCAACTTTGGATTGGCGATACATTTTAAAACCTAAGTCAGAACTATGTGACTAGACACAAATATATTTCTAGTTTTTTTGAGTTTAAGTTGTGACTACCCTTGTGTAAAATATTAAATAAGAAAAACTATTTTTATATTTGTTTATATATTATTTTTGCTGGAGTTTTCCAATACCTTCTAAAGTTAATTATGCAGTTTTTTTTATTTAATATTAATTCAAAAAAATTACAAAAAAAAGGCTCATGAACAAAAAATTTAGTTCAGAGTAATTATTTTTTAAAACACAATTTAAATAATATTTTTAAAAATAAATTGAAAAACAATATAAAGACATTTAAATTCTTAGAGTGTAAATCGAAATTAAGTAGAAATCAAATAAAATCGGTTACTAAAATGTTGCCAAAGTTTATATTTAGTTTAAGTTAACAGAAAAAAAATAATAATAATAAATGAATAAATGAATTCGTATGTGTAGCAATAAATAAAAAAATTAATAAGTAATTAATTTTTTTAAATTTTAAATTGTATATCTTTACACTTTATTCCACTTGAAACTAAAATAAATTTCATTACAATTAGACATATATAGTAATTGAATAAGTAATTTTCTCTTAAAAATGTTAATGAAACTTAATAGAAATTAATGAATAGCATTTTCTCCATGTAAATAATTGTTAAGAAATACATATATATATATACATATATATATTTTTACTATATATATAAAATTAATACAAAATACGTTATTTCAAAAAATCAATATAATTTTTTCAAATCTTAAATTAAAAACAAAAAGTTATACGCAAAAAATAAACAGAATTATTATTAATATTGAAACTTATAAGAAAATTAAAATAAACGTTAATAATTTGCGCTTATTTTTGCAAAGCAATGATTTAATTTATTATAAAAAATTTATTCCTGATTTGCATATTTATCCTTGGTCCTTAGTAGGATAAATGAAGTTTCGATTAAGTGCGAATTTGCGTTTATAAAATTCTGAATGTTTTGCCATTTTTTTATTATATGTTGTACTATACTTTAGATATAGAAAATATAATATAAGTTAAATTATGTATTTTATTAAAATTATTTTTATTTAACTGCTTAGTCTTTAGATTGTAATTAAAATTGTAGCACTAATTACAGAAAAACAGATAAAAATGTGAAATAAATTAATAAAGTTACATTTTTTTAATTGCCAGATATATTTTCGTTTTTTTTTTTTTGTATTTCAATTATTTATTCTGTCAATTATACGATTAAATGCATATATAGATATCAAGAAGAAGAGCACGTCCAAAGACAGCATGGAGGCGAACAGTATTCACAGTAACATCCAAATCGTTTAATGAACTCAGATGTATGGCACGGAGTAAGGATAAGCTGAAAACTTTTTATAGATAAACTGAGTTCTTAGATATGCAATCAATTATTATTATGTATAATAATAATTATATATAGTAATAATAATAATAATAATAATAATATTTATAATAATTATATTAGTAATAATAATAATAATATATGTATACCAAATAGATTCAGAAACAAACCGCTTAACCGATCAGCTGATATTCATACTATTTATCTATATAAAAGTGACTGAACATAGTCTATAACATATATCTTTATGTATAACATACTATATATATTTATTGTATAATATCTCTATTAAGGACCGGAATATGGGCTATGATATTTGTATTAAGAAATAATATAAAAACCTTTCGACATATAATTGATTCATGAGTCAGAGTGATAAAACATCAATCTGGAAATTATTAAAACAATTCTGGATACAGCTAAAGTGAAAGACGTTATATTACAAATAGCTAATGGTTAAGCCTACCAAATACTAATAATATTATTAAAACTCAAATATAAAATGACGCCAAGTCGGATGCGGGTTGTAAGATCCGGCTAAGCTGACTGTTACA